CATTCTTCTACATATGGATGACCAATTTTCCCAGCATCATTTGTTTAAAAGGCTGTTTTTTCTCCAAAGGATATTTTTGGCACTTTTTTCTAGTATCAAATGACTTCATCCAGGTGGATTTGTCTCTGTGTCTTCTATTCCGCTGGTCTTTATGTCTATTTTGATGCCAATACCATAGCTCTGAGCATAATGTGAGATCAGGTTATGTTATATCTCTAAATGTTGCTCTTCTTGCTCAGGATTGCTTTGACTATTCTGGATCTTCTATTCTTACATATGAATTTTAGGACTTTTTGTCCAGTTCTGTGAAGAATTTCAATGGTATTTTGATGGGAGTTGTATTGTATCACTTTTGATCATATAGCCATTTGACAATATCAATTCTCCCTACTCAAGAACATGGAAGGTCTTTCTATCTTTTTAAGTCTTTTTAAATTTCTTTCTTCAGTTTTCTATAGTTTTTACTGTAGAGTTATTTCACCTCCTTGATTAGATCTATTCCTAAGTATTTTTTTTCAGCTATTGTAAATGGAATTGCTTTCCTGATTTCTTTCAGCTGATTCACTATTGCCATATAATAAACTACTGATTTTTTTTGTATGTTGATCTTGCATCCTGATTCTTTGCTGAATTTATCAGTTCTCTAGAAGAGTCTAAGTTTTAAGTCTTCTGGTGGAGTTTTTTTGGTCTTCTAAATAGAAAATCATGTCATCAGTGGACAGATAATTTGACTTGTTCTTTTCCTCTTCATATCCCTTTGATTTTCTTCTCTTGTCTGATTGCTTTGGCTAGAGTTTTAAGGAAAATGTTCAATAGGCGTGGTGAGAATGAGTGTCTTCATCCTGAGTTTAGAAGTAAGTACCTTCTATCCCTAGCTTCTTCACTGTTTTAATATGAATGATTGCTGGATTTTCTTGAAATTCTTTTCTGCATTGATTGAGATGATAATGTGGTTTTTGGTCTTAATTCTATTTATGTGATTAATTATGTATTTATTAATTTATATATATTGACTAATCTTTCATCCTGGGGAGCTCTGTTTTTATTTAGTCTTTTTGCTTCATGGAGAAAACTCTCACCTGCATTAGCATTTCTGGCAAGAACAGCTCATGTAATGATCTTAAAGGTCGAATGCCCTTCAACTACCCTTCCCAGCATCAGTCCACAGCAGGGAAAGCAAAGGCAGGGGGCAGACAGATCTGGATGTGAAACGTAAGGTTCCCACTTACCCTCTTGGGAACCCTTGGGAAAGTTTCTTAACTCTCTATGGTTATCTATCAAATGTATAGAATGCTAATTTCCATACCTGCTCTGTTAGATTCTCCAGAGAAATAAAAGCGATATGATATATGTATTCATATTATCTATAGTTAATATTATATACATCATATATATTATTGGTCATAATGTGCCTTATAAATATATATTATATATCACATACTATGTTTATATCATGTCTTATTGGTCTTTATGTTACATATTATATACGGTTATATTATATAATATATCCTCTTGAATCTGTGTTGGGGAAACCTTTAGCTAATACAGTATACTGAATGTGTGTATAAAAAAATAAATAAATGTAGGGAGAGAGGGAGATTGATTTTGTGGAAATGACTTATAGGACTGTGGGAAGTGCAAGTCTAGAATGTGTAGAGCAAGCTGATAGTGTAAAACTCAGATGAGAGAGATGCCACTGTCTTGAGTCTCTTGGAGACTCAGGCAGAATGTCTACACTGCAGTCTGAAGGGAGCATACCTTCTCCTGGAGGTACCTCTGTCTTTGCTCTAAGGCCTTCAACCAACTGGATGAGACCTACACCTACTATGGAGGTTAACCTGCTTTCCTAACATCAAGGAGTGTGAACATTAATCACATCCACAAAATGCCTTCTCAACAACATCTTAACCGGTGTTTGACAAGCAACGGGGCCCATGGCCTTGCCCCACTAGCACAGAACACTCATCGTCATGCCCAGGGGGTGTCGGGGGTTCAGTACAACAATGCAGTGTGTAATGGCCAGAGCAGTCCCAGACATGTTCTCCCACTGTTTGCTAATTACCACGGTGACAGTTTTTTACATTTTCTTCTCCCCATTTTTGATACTTGGCTTTTCCTGCCTTACCTCACCTTTCTCAAGAAGAGACAACGATACCACAATTCTCATCAATGCAGAGGAAAAAACTCACCTAAACTACTGAAAATTCTGACTTAGTAAATGCTGCTTGAAAAAAATGTTTCAGTTCTTAAATATATTTGACACTTGAAATCATATGCTTAGCCAATTCTCTGTCTGCCGACATCTGTTCCTTGAGAGTAGAATAATACTTCATTAAAAAGAAATTTGGGTCCCTAGAAAATACTGTGTAACTATCAGGCGATCAATAGTTGCAAAGATTGATTAAATCTGTGTATGGATGAATGAGCTTGAGCAACTGTAAAATACTTGAATTTGCTAGAACAACAGAACAATACTTCTCCTGAAGGTCTGTGGATGACCTGCATCAGTCAAAAGAGTGATGCTTCATTCAGCAGATGGTGCGTCTCCTACCAGCACTGGCACACATAGGGGGGGTTTGTTTATGCCCTCCCCCAACCTGACACATTGGCACATCCCTGATGTGATGAGACTAGTGGGTGGGACCTTTGGTAAATGATGTGGTCATGAGGATGGGCCTCCCATGAATGGGATTAGTATCCTTACAGCAGAAGAGGAGACCGGGTCTCTTTCTCCACCATGAGAAGAAGTGAGGAGAAGGCGGTCATCAGCAAACCAAGAAGAGGACCCTCACCAGATAGAGTTAACCAGGAAGAGGGCCCTAGCTAGACAGATGCAGCCAGTGCCTTAACCTTGGACTTCTGGGTCTTCAGAACTATGAGAAAGAAACGTTAGCTATTTAAGCCACACAGTGTATGGTACTTTGTGATCACAGCAGGAACTGACAAAGACATTGGGTGACTGGGAGCTGGCTGCAGTTCTTAGCACCTCCTACCACCATGGGCCATGCGGGAAGCACCCTTCTCATTCCGCACATGTCCCTACTGGACAGCAAGCCCCCTGAAGGCAGGCAGCCCCCAGCTTAAAGCATTGTGTCCCTGGCTCAGTTCTTGCAGGTAGAATGCTCTCAAGAAAGAAAGAAAGAAAGAAAGAAAGAAAGAAAGAAAGAAAGAA